CCCCCCTTGCATTTAAATTTATTTTCAGTTCTGCTGCAGTTGATACAGCTATCAGGATTTTCTGTGGTTTCCATTTCTCATTCAAGGCACCTGTTATAAACAGGGTGTATATATATATGTTTTTTTACTTCTATAAAATAGCTTAATATTCTACTTTACTAATGAACTATGGGCTTCCTTTTTTTTAAACTCTAAAGAGAGATATGCACGGTAATGTCTCCATAGACAAAGTGGGGGCAATAAATATGCAAATATCACTTTTGGCTTTACAAAGTTGAATTGCTTTCTGTGTTTTGCAGATTACTAGGATGAAAATGACCGGCTAGAGCAGTAACACATTTGTATATTCACTTTCTTAAAAATGCAGGCAAATTGCTGAAAGGTGTGCCAGTTTTTAATTCGGCAGGTTTACCTCTTGTTGACCTCGCTGCAGCGTGTGGAGCGCTTGCGTGACCGAGGTTCTTCGCTGAATGCAAACACGGTGTTTCGAAGCCGTGTGTTTCACAGAGCCTGTGAAAGGCGATGGCGGCAGCCGCTGCTGCGTCGAGATCACAGGGAACAGAGCTCAAAGGCACCTCAGGAGATCGTCTAGCATATCTCTTTACTCTAAAGCGAGATTAACTGGTTTTGAACGCTTCCATGCGTTTTGAGTTTGAGGCAAGAATCAGGACATTCTCATGTTGTATTTGATATTTTAAATTATTTTTCTTCTGTTGGTTAAAGTATAAAGCAGAGGTTGGAGGGTAGAATCCAGAATATTTCATTGCAGTACCTGAAATCTATTTTTATGAAAATGTATGTGCTTACAATATCTAGAAGTGCTGGGCCCATGAACTCAATAGCCATATGCAATGTTATGGGTATAAGGCAGTCACTGAAATGTCTCACAAAGCTGAGAATCACTTCAGTATCATACTTCAAGAAATCTCTGAGCTTAGTTGGCATTTCTGGTTAACAACTTACTTCTGGGCAGCCTGGTAGAAGTGCCCGCTGATATCTTTTAAGAGAGAGAAGTTTAGATATTAATAAGGAAGAGAATTCCAGTATTCTAGTTTTAAGAATCATCATATGCAGAGAGAGATGGATTGCCTTGATGTGGCCACTTGCCTTGAGGTCGCTCTTCACTTGAGGCAAATCAGAGAAAAAGAAAGCAAAGGTATTGGTTTGTAAAATTCAAAATAGGCCACACAGTTGCAGAATTTCTTAAAGAAATGCCGAAAGGAAATTGAAATTATTCATATATTACCTAGAATAGTTTAAACTCTCTCACTTTTTAAGGTCCAACTTGCACTTATGCATTTTAACTTATGTTAAAATGCTCAGAATCCTATAGCTGAGGATCCATTTCTTCATGGATCCAAGCCACTTCGGTATAAGTCAAGAAAGAGAATCTCGATTTGGGAACTCTTACTTTCTTTTATATGAAACACTTTTTTGGAGATTGTTTAAATACAATTCCTCTCTGTCAATAGGCTTCTCTTTAATCCTAATTATTGACTCCCTCCTCTTGTACGGGAAATGTTAATGTCCTAAAGCTTTGGCCATGTGTGATTGTTGCCTTCTAAGAGGGTAAATAAGACCATGCTAGCAATTGCTCTTGTGTTTGACTAAAGCCTGAACTGGTTGTTGTTCCAATGTGGAATATGCAAATAGCCAACTGATGGTTTCTTTTATATAGCATTTAATTTTTCTGTGTATGGACTCTTTATATACATTAACAAGTTACTTAGTTAATACGCTTGTATTGCAACATTTAAAAATGAGTTACTTTTGTCTCATTTTAAAATAATGTATATTTTATTGGAGCCAGTCATTGAGAACAGATTATTATTCCCTTTTTATCCATACTAAAATAACAAACTTTCATATCTGCTAGGTGATAAGAGTATACAAAGCTGCAGTACAACAGACATTGGATATACTGTTTCTCCATGAAGGAAGAGAATTCCTTACAAGCACGGATGCAGTAAGCCGGGACTCAGCTGATCGTACCATTATTGCATGGGACTTCCACAGTGCTGCGAAAATCTCCAATCAGATTTTTCATGTAGGATTAACAGTCATTATTCTTTGGACCATGATTTAGTATTTCATGCTTGTCATTGTTGTTAAAAAGCTTTTGATACTCTATAAGATCATTGTGTGATTTATAAAATGCTCTTAATATAAGTTGAGTTTTAGCAACATTTACTTATTCTTTAAAGAAAGACCTGGAAAACCATGAGATATCCTTGGAAAAGTACTTACATTTCACTGATGTCTAAGCTAAGTTTAAGCAAGTCCACTGAAGTGTCATTCTAGCTTGCCAGTGGTGTATGACAATTTTTGCTCTAGCAGTGTGTTTCTGTCCCCACAGTTTTCCTAGGATAGCAAAATGATATGTTTATCATCAGCTGGAGTGAGTGTTATTGACAAATTGCATGAATTTAATAGTTGCACAGTAACAGCAACCTGATATATACATATGGATATGTGGTAAGGCTAAACAACAGAGGCAACATTTAATTTTCTCAAGTGCAGGTGCAGTATTTTTCTCAGTAATCCATGCAGGCAAGATGTTTAAAGATCTGAACCATCAAGAAGGACTGACAGCTTCAAAGGAAATTGTTAAGGAAGTTCATAGGTGATTCTGACTCCCTGCAGATTATACTGTGCTTTCTAATTCCTTACTGCTAGACCCAGTTTCCCCTCAGAAAGCACGCAGTGCTCTGTCATCAAGTACACTCAGGCACACCGCCTAATGATGTTTGATTTCAGTGCCAAGTACCTTAAACTGCCTAGAACTTCCTTCCCATTTCAGCACATTCAAACAGCATGACAACAATTCTGATGTTCTTCCCACCCTACCGTATAGCCCATTGTACTCAGTGTTCACTGCCAGCCTGGTGTTCCTCACTTGCAGAACCATCCTACAGCCAAAGTTTACTTAATTTGTGTTTGTGCCTTCAAAATTTTTGCACTTGTTTGTGTTGGACTGAAATTAGAAGAGGCTTTTCCATGACTGGTTTGGACCTGGTTTTGAAACATTGTGAGAGTAGTTGATTTCTAATGCTTTTACCATATTTTGAAACTAATCTTAATTCAGTTTTAAACATGAAAACTAGCCTAAAGCTAAACGTTGTTAACTTTTGCAGACATTTCTGAATTTAGAGCCAACAGTAGTCTGAATGACGAGTCACTATCGCGAGTGATTTCTGACTTTAGTAGACTTATATTTAATTGTTCTCTTTGGAAAAGCAGGGAAGGGGGGGGGGGGAATGGGGTCAATTCTCAATTCCTGTCATTGTGGCCAGAACTGCAGGGATTACAAAGGGTTTGAGAACTGAATGAAGTAGTATAGAAGGGTCAGTATGAATACAGAGGAAGATCTGGGACAAGAACAGCCACTTTGATGTTCAGATTTCTTTTCCTCAGGGTTTTCTTTAGGCAGGAAGAGAATGTTTGGGTGCCACAGGGTGGGAGTTGCCTTCCTACAGCAGTTCTGCAGTTTATGGTTCAGAGGGAAATGGGGTTTTTATTAGGAAAATTAGGAAGTCAGAATAGATACTTGATTGAAAGTCTTACACCAAGACAAATATTAAGTGGAGTATAATGAGTTAAGTTTCTTCTCTGTTATGTAACAGATACTGTAGACAACTTATGTTTACCTTACTCATTTTACAGTCTTTCAAATATGTCCAAAAAAACCCCCAACCCTGATTATTTTGAATAAATGTTTCATTTCTTATAACAAAGCTATCTTTTAAATTGTTTTCAGGAGCGTTACACTTGTCCAAGTCTGGCTCTGCACCCAACAGAGTCTGTATTTGTTGCTCAGACAAACGGAAACTACATGGCATTGTTTTCTTCCCAGCGACCTTACCGAATTAACAAAAAGAAAAGATATGAAGGACATAAGGTATCTTTCTTCACTGGAAACTTAGTATTCAAGCCTAGAAGTAAGATAGATAACAAAGTATCTGTTCTTTTTAATATATCTGCTGATAGTGTTGGAGCATAAACGAAGGATAGATATTAATTAGCTTGATTTACTTTCCTATTTTTTAATCAGTTTTGAATCATGTACATTGAGTAAAATAGTTATTAGAAGACTTTGTGAACTGTTAATAGCTTGATATGTTATAGCTATATCTTGATACGCACCTGGAGAAATCATTAGTGCATGTTTATTTAAAGATACGTTTTTGTACCATTTTCATTTTCAGCAGATCACAATGAACTTACGTAACCAGTATCTGAATTTTACACTATTATTGATTTTTACAGGTGGAAGGATTTGCAGTGGGCTGTGAATTTTCTCCAGATGGAACACTTTTGGTGACAGGAAGTTCAGAGGGCAAAGTGTTTTTCTACAACTATCATACTGCTAGGATTATTCGCACTTTGTCTGCACATAAGGAAGCCTGTGTGAGTGCAGCATTTCACCCCATCTTGCCATCACTCCTTGCAACATGTGACTGGGCTGGAGAAATCAAGATCTGGCAATAACAAACGACAGTTATTTTTCAGGATATCTCCTGTGAACCTATCAAAGGCATAGGGTCTGGTGTTTCAGAATGGATAAGCCAAGGTATGCAGTGTGGATTTTTGTTGTGAGTAGAAGAGATTGTTACCTTTTTTTGCTGTGACCTCTAAATGTATGCTTCGATAATACAATTAAGCTGATCTTGATCTTCTAGTTGATAAAGAAAGAAGTGGTCTTACTATCTTCCCAGGCATTGGCCACAAATTTCTGCCTTTTTTGTGTCAACCTTCTTGTGCTTGTCTAGCCCTAGACTGGTTTGAGTAGCTAAACTTGAGGAAAACTATTAATCTTTTTATGTAGCTTTTCACTATAACTCTCTCCCCTGGTCACTGAAGGGTTAGACAAGCATCAGTGTTGTTCGAGGGAAAACAGCTTCCTCTGCACACAGGAAAGCAGGTGGGACTGCCTCTTCTGGAAGCAGGTAGTCTTTTAATCAACGCAGCTTATTGTTAAATGCCGCTTAAGAATTCTAGGCCAAGGTTTTGAAGATAACTTGGAGTTAATTCTGGAAGTCAGTATGTTAGTGTTCTCAAAATCTCCTATCTAAACTTACGAGTCTTAAACTTGCTTTTATGACTGTGTATAAAGAAAATGTAAATGAAAATATGTAAATATTTTTACTAAAACAATAAAACACTTTTTTACATGGTGTCCGTATTTGTGTTTTACTCTTGTTAGTCTTGACAAGTTAATACTCAAGAGTCTCAAGGAATCAATACTTGGGAGAAAAATCAATCTGTAATTTATTGCAAACACATGGAACATTACAAAGGCTTATAAAGAGTATTAAAAAAAAGAGAAAAATCTTACAAGGAATGTGGGAAGACAGACTTATTTCCCCCATACTTTTTGGTTCTTTAACTTACATATTGTCACTTATAAAACAGAAAATTGTCATCAGGCTATTCTATGCAGGGGATACTCATTGACATTCAGATTGGAGCTGGACCATTCTGTAGCAAAGAGAAAATTCATTAGGCATAACTGTGTATTTGCATATGTATAGATTGCTTGTAAAAATGTATTTTTAACTTTACATTCCCTGGACTTGCATTGCCTGAATCTGGAAATAATTATAATATGTTTTGTATGTGTCTGCATGTATGTGCACACACATGTGCGTGTGTGCACGCATACACATTACATAGGCAATACGAATTCTCAACCTTAATTCCATATCGATATAGTATCTTATCTTGCAGTGAGTGCTATAAGCTTGGCTTATGTTTGGTCAGACAGGTCTATAAAGGTATTTTAACACAAAAGATCATTCTGAGTACATTGTCTCTGTCATAGAAGCCATAAAGCATGCATCATAGTAAATTTTCATGTGTAACTTCTATTCTTCCGATTTGTCCTTACACAAATACAAAAGCTCTTTACCATCTTTCATATACTCAGTGAAAATGACCTTTTCAGAGAGAGTTTTTTTTGGAAGACACTTGCAAATGGCATATTTGAATTAGGTAATGAGGAAAATGTACTCCATTTGTTTGTAGTTTGTGCTCATTATAGCTTGTATATAAGCCTGTACCAAGACTTTGAATCCAATTTTCCTCGAACTTTTAGACTGTTTGAAATCTGGATCCAAATATTATGGCTTAAAAACATACGTAGTCTTAATCTTCTTATCAGCAGCTATGATGGATTTTAACAAAGGGCGTTGAATTTTAGTGAACCTTGCAACTTAATGCAAATAGCTGGGGAGTTTGTTTGTTTGTTTGTTTACCTCCCTCCAGACTGTTCTCAATTTCTTACTACTTTTTTTTTTTTTTTTTGTCAATTAGCTGTTCCATACTAACCTGAATTTTGCACTTCTGTTCTTGATTGTCTGTCTAGCATTCAAGCTAACTGTACCCTTTAAATGATGACTGGTTCAGTGATTTGATGAGTTACTCCTAATTTAAGCTGTGAGACTAGGTTTTAAGGGATTCTTTCTAGACTATCTTCATAAATGTCAGGAGTACAGCTGAAAATGACAGATAAGTGCCTATATTTGGGCAGCTGAGTAACAACTGTAGCACATTTTCTAAGAGAGTCTTTGTATCTCTTTTTGTCCCGCTATTTTATTTCAAAAGGTGCTGGTACCACTTTCAAACTACTAGTAATCGGTTGTGTCCATAGGAGGGATGGGCAGTACCGTAGCTGTGCAATATATCCTGTTATCTCTTCAAGAGATTATCTTGGGCTGTTATGTGATTAAATAGAGTGCTGAGAGGCCTCTGATATACATGTGAGCCCATCGTAGACATGTCTTATTGGATCAGGCCCCAACCTACTTGATGACTGCTGTATATCTGAATGAGACTGCTAGAAAATGCTGAAGCTGAGAGAGGCGCTGGGCAGAGTGAAAGATCTAAGAGAACAGCCTTTGGGAATCACTGCCCCTATTGTGTAGAAAAATAACCTCATCTTGTAATTCTACCTGTGTCCTTAGTGTTTGATTTATGTCCTGAGGCAAAGGCCTAATACAGATTATGGTGTCTGGCATTTACGCTTCCTGGAATTACCTTGCAAATATGAATTTTAGACAATTTATAGAAAAAAAGCTTAAATTTGATTAAAGGTAGTGAAGAACAATAAAAGAAATTTGATGCTGTATAACTTAGGGAATTTTAAAATTGGAATTTGTGTCAGATTTTCAAGGTGGCTGGGGCTTTAATTACTTATGAGATCCAGCGGAAAGTTTTATAGTGTAATGAAATAATATTCGCAACATTATCTTGTTAAAATCTTTCTAATATAAAACTGATTAAAGCACAGAATGAAATTTAATCACTGAAAATAGTTTAGCGTGGTGATGTCAATTAAGGTATCGTGATTCAAAGACAAATTCTTCCTCACAATCTATCTAATGAACTATAATCAAAAAATATCCACGTTGCTCCATCATTCTGCAATTACAAAATACTGTTTGGGCTGCAAACAAGGATTGTTATGGACAGAAGAAGCTTTCAGAATGTAATGAATCATTGGTTAATTAATTGTATTCATAAAATGGTAATCTAGAAATGTTTGAATCTTACTTTGAGAGCAGTTCTAGCTTTGTATGGAGCCCTACCGGGCGTTATATATTAGAGCCAAACTAAAGATATTCACCCTTTTGAAATGATCTAGGCTATGTAGATAAACAAGCCATATTTGTTTTAATCTGTTTTGCACTGTATCAAAAAGTAATAATGCCAATCTCTACCCCGTTATTATTTACTACTGGAGCATTATTAATTTGGGGTGCCAGAGGATGCAAATTGCTCAGCTATGCTCTTATCTCAAAAACCTGCTAATTAACAGACAGTTACTAGAATCACTGTGTTCACTCAGCTGAAATACTGTTGGTGAGTCACTAAATCCCTCAGCTATAGGCCTAATCAGGAAAACAGGGTATGGCAATACAATGAAATGACTCTTTCCATAGAAGACGGGCAAATTTAAATCTATAAGATTATGGCAGAACAGAGCAAAGTTAGAAGGCTGAGAAATCATGAGATTTAAAATTTTCCATTATCCTGCTTTTAAGGCAGGGTTTGCGTTACTTTCGACTGAAAATATTTGCTCTGGTTTCTTTGGCTAACCTTCATCTTGTCTTAATTCCAGCCCCTCCTAGCCGTTTCTTGCATCCTTACTGTTTCATTCTCAGTTTTTCTGTTCTCATTTCAGCACCTTGCCTTCTGGTATTTAGGTAGGTAGTAGTTCATATGCTTACACTGTATTCTTCTCCTCTTCAATACATTTCATTTCATTTTGCTGTGTTCTGACTTATTTTGTTCCAGCTGTCTATAGAAAGGTACCCAGAAATCCCAGAACACTTGCACTCCATTCTTGTCTTTCGCTGGTTTCCAGCTTTAAAAAGGCAGCTTACTTTTAGATATTCTCCCCTCTTCACAGAATCCCAGAATCGTTGAGATTGAAAGGGACCTCTGGAGATCATCTAGTCCAACCGCCCTGCTCAAACAGGGTCATCTAGAGCACGTTGCCCAGGATTGCGTCCAGACGGCTTTTGAATATCTCCGAGGATAGAGACTCCACAACCTTTCTGGGCAATCTGTTCCAGTGCTCAGTCGCCTCACAGTAAAGAAGTTTTTTCCTTATGTTTAGACGGAGATTCCTATGTTTCAGTTTCTTAACTTCTGTTCTGTCTGCTTCTCTTCTCACCTATCTGTTTATGACTCAGCACTGTGTTCAGCTGGTCATATCTCTGATATTTTCACACATCAAAGGGTGGAAATCGGGGAATTAAATTAATTTATGAAGCGGGGGGGGGGGGGAACAGAATGAAGTACTTGATCTCCAGTAGCAATAAAACTTCACAGTAAAACAAACTGACCTCTGCGCAGAATCTGATTAATTCTATCACGTATGAGGCCCTACTCTCTGAGGTAAGGCAGAGCAATCTAGTCTATAAGTGGAAGTGATGGGTCTGTAGGTGTAGTTGTGACTCCTTTCATTGCCCTAAGGTGGAAGCTTAAAGGCGTTAAGTTTATTCACCACCCTGTCTCGGTCCTTGGATATCTCCCTGCATAGGCTTATTTAGAAACCTACCAGAAAATATCTAGGTAGTGTGTAGAAATGATAAAGCTCCATCCAAATGTCATTCTACTTACATTTTTCCCATTTTGGGTAAGTGCCTCTTAATCTAAAAATTGTTGCAGGAGCTCTTTGGACAAGGTTGAAACTCACCAGTTGAAGATGCCTGAAATTATGGTCTAGGCAGCTTCAGGTTGGATCCATTTGTCTCCAGTTTTCATCAGCAGTGCCACAAAACTCAGGTAATGTTTCTAGTTCTGAAGGAAATTTATACTAACATGATGTTTGAAGTGTGTCCTTAGAAAAGCAATTTATGTCACTTATGCATAAGTGTACTGTCTCTGCCGCAGACCTGTTTACTTTGAGAAAGGAAATTTCTTGCATGCAGGCTGTTACCATTCCCTTGTAAGCAAGCAACAAAGAATTGCCTCACAATATCATTAGGTTTATCTTTAGCTTTGAACTGAGCTATTTTTCATCGTGCACTGCATGACTGCCTCCTCTGTTGCCTTCCTGTTACGTGATATAAGCAAATCCCAGAGCCCTTCTGCCTTCAGGTGCATAAAGAATGATCAAAGTTGAGTATGAGGTAAAGTGTATCATGATACCTTATAAAACAAACATTAGTTATTTTGATCTCAAAGCTCTGTTCATTTTGGGTTTTTTCCTTCTTTATAATGATTCAGAAACTAAATGGCTGTTAGTGAGCACTCAGATGAATTGCATCCTAATCTAAAGAGGTAATATTTGAGTCTTTGAATACTCTCCGTAGGATGTGTGGTATGAACATATCTGGAAATATCTAGAAATTCCTCTTTTTTTTTTTCTTTTTATCTGGCACAATGCATGTAGGAGAGATTAATACCAAGCTCCCACAATTTATAGTCTTTAAGACTCAGTTCTGCAAGGCCTTTACGTAGTGCTTAAATTGAGAAAGTGCGTGATTTTCTTCAGGGATGCACTCCTGGAGCTGGAGTGAAGGGTAACAACAAACACAGGGCACGATCTATGAAAACTCTATAGAATAGTAGGAGATTAGAAGGAGAATGTGCTTAGAGGGCAAGTGGCAACATCAGGTGACAGATAGCATAGAAGATAAG